ATCCTTCCCCCGTCTCTTCCTTCCCTTCTCGGATGAGATTTAGGAATTGGAGGGATAGGAGGGGGCCCAGCGCCCTCTGGAGGTCCACACACAGTTTGGTTCGCAGCAAAAAAGAAGAGAGAGGAAATGTGCACTGAGGACATGATAGACGGGAGGAAGGTCGGGGCACCTCTAATGAGAGTTTATTAAAGAGTTGCAGCTTTGATTGCAGATTAAAATGCAGTTCTATGTGTAATCAAAAATATCCAAATGTCTGGTGATGGCAGAGGACTTCATTTTGTGTGACACTAATCTCAGGGGTGAAATCTTAAAAAATGCATTGAAGTACATTAAAGTGACATTGAAGGCAAAATCCCCCCCACCCCCAAGTGCTGCTGTGGGCACTTACCTTGGTGGATCAGAGGCTGTTACCAGCGATGGAGGGACTGTCGGAAGCCTCTTGCTTCTTCTTCTTCTTCCACTGGTTTCCGACAGTCCCTTCAGCGCTGGTGCCGGTCTCCAATCCACCGCAAACTCCTTGTGTCCAACGGAGTCTGTCCGACGTGCATGCTCCCAGTTGCCCGGCTGCGTTCTTTGAGCTTCAGTCAAGCAAAACACTGGGGGTCTCAGCTGCCGTTGTGATGTGTGGGGTCCCTTGTGCGTCCCTGTGCCTTTATGGAGGTTAGGCTGCCTCCTGATGAACCTGCACCCAATTTTATCTTTTGCTACATGTGCTCCAAGATGGAGACTCTCATAGGTAGGACTGCACTATATAGAGGTGCCTTGGCGCGGCTGTGCGGCTTTCACATTTTCTGCAGAAGACGTGTATCTAAACCTCTGCTTTTAACCTTAGTGTGAGACAAGTTTTTTTTTGCATGCTGGCTGGTGAGTGTGCTGGGAAACGTTTTGCTGTTGCATTGAGCTTTAGTGTCTGTTTTCTCCCCCTCCCCTCTACTGCGCATGCACCAGCACACTTCTTCTTCCCAGCTGTTTGGGGCCAGGAGTTCTTCAGCTGGGAGTGAGCATCACTGGAACAGGTAAGTAATTAAGTATTTGACTAATTATTATAATTTTTTTTAATCATGGGAAATATATCTACTGCTTACTAGTTTCAGAATCCTGCGGAAAGTTTGGAGTTTAAGTGGCACCCTTACATTTGCATTCAAGTCCCTTAACTAGTAACAAAAATGTATCTTATTTGTGTATCACTCGGCTGTAGATCCTCAAATCATCTCTGAATTGGTGCGGACACTCTCCTTCCTTCTGGAGGGGGGCTACTTTTGTTCCCCAGGGTCCCTGTGTGTGCTGTAAAGTAGTCATCTCTCCAAGCTCACTCCCAGGATGGACTACAATCTCATGTTTAGTTTACTAATTTGTATTGAGATTGTAGTCCATCACAGAAGCGAGCTTGGGGCGGTGGCTACTTTACAACACACACAGGGACCATGGAGAACAAAAGTAGCCACCCTCCAGAAGGAAGAAGAGTGTCAGCACCAATTCAGAGATGATTTGAGGATCTACAGCCGAGTGATACACAAAGAAGATACATTTTTGTTAATAGTTAAGATACTTGAATATATTTTTAACATTTAACTCCAGAGTTTAGTATCACTTCAAAATGAAGTCCTCTGTCTTTGAAAATTATTCAAAGGTCTCATTTAGATGGGTGCCAGACTCCTCCACCGCCCTCTGAAAAGTGAGCCGCAGCAGATGGGTTTTCACAGGGCAGTAGAACAGTAGCTGTCTGGCGTTCTGATACCGTCACCTCCTGAATGCAGTTTTTTTAATCACAAGGGGGATTTATTGCTAAACTACTGTGCCGCAATGGTCCTGCCGCAGTCCCATTTACCTCTATGGCACCACTTGTCAAATGCAACATGCTGTAACATTTTTGCAGGAAAACAGAGCAACATGGCCGCAGCAATGTATACATCACTGTCTGGCCACAATGCTAATATTGCAGCGGGCAACTGGGGAAAACTGCAGATCAACCACCTGATTTTACTTTCTCTTAACCACGAGCCCTGACTTTTGAAGCTGCTGCCACTGTTGGCTCCCCTCTCCATCTTGTCTAGATGGCACCACCAACAGACCATTGGATGTACAGCTCCCAGCCGCTCATGAACGTGCAGTCGGCTGCAATAACTCAGGCTGACCAAGCATGCATGAGCACCCTCTCTCTCGCAGCAGCAGTTGAGTTCAGAGCTCCACAAGTGAGAGAGACAGTGAACTGTATAGTGATGAAAATTGCACATTCATTAGGGGGCTGCGGCTGCATATTCAACTGTTTGTCAGTTCTGCCATCTAGACGGGATGGAGAGGAAGAGTGCAGCAACATCAAAAATGCGTTATCAAAAATTGAGGGCACCATTTTAATGTACCCTAAAAGCTGTAATGCATATGGATTTGTTTTTAATCCTTAAAGGTGACCTTGTCCCCTGGCTAAGGGTTATAACCTCTCTCTGCTCCAACTCATGGAATGTCCAACATGCAGAAATTGCGTATTTCCTAAAGGATGACATAGCTCAGTATAAAGAATCTTATTTTCTTTAATGGTGTCCTATCACACCTGAGCGTTGTTTCTTTTGTCGCTTGCAGCAATTAAATTATTTAATATTTTTTTTACATTTTTTTAAATTAATGTAATTTTTTTCCCCACCTAACTTTATTGCTATCACACAGGAGATAACAATCCCCTGTGTGATAGCAAGGTAGACGGCTACTTCCTCCGGCGTCAATCCACATTAACAGGACGCCGGAGGAAGTATCTGACAGCTAGGGGGAGGAGTTGCGGCCCGCCGCGCCGTGATTGGCACATTACGGTCCGCCGCCGGGACACCTTACACCGGCGCCCGCAACTTCACCACAAGGTTACCACTGCCACCCCTCTGCACTCTGCCGCCTTGTGGGAAATCCGGGCCTGCTTGCAGCCCAAAAAAAAAACATGAGCTTTTGATTGTGGTCAGACCTGGTGATTAGTCACTCACGAAATGAATCGCACATGTCTAAAAGTTATGCTCACCTGAAGCTCTGAGCCGGCCAGGGGTGACAGCGCTCCCTCCAGTCTGTCTCCTCCGCAGCATTGAAATCTTCCTCAGTGTCCTCATGTCTATACACAGTGATGATTTATGGGACCTTATACCTCTGCAGAGGATGGGGAGAGGTGCTGGAAGGACCGGTCTAAGAACAAGCCGGTTTGGAGCTTCAGGTGAGTATAACTTTTTTTTTTTTTGCACCTAGACACATCCGAGCAGTTAACCCTTGCAGTACAGGGGTAGCTCCACTGCAAGATTTAATAAAATAAAAATCCTAGAGTCCTTCCTGATTATTGCATAAAGAGATTTTGCTATGTGAAAAAAATTCAGTTGCAGGACCTTGGTCTGGTCCCAGTTCTACGCAGTTCCACTGAAGATACTCAGATCAACCATCATTTCCTTGAAGATAACCTCAGGAGACAAACATCTGAACAAAGCTGAACTGACCAGGCTGGATATGTTTTGTTGTTAGTTGAGGTCAAGTTGGATCACCTAATGCATTCTTTGATCAGTCATGCACTCCTCTGGCAAGATTTTCCAATTCTCAGTCCCAACATTAACCATCCACAACTGGAACTTTCCTGCGGCCATCGGTAAAGTCTCATTCTGCCTTTCATGCTTTATAAAAGTAAATGAGAACTCCAGGAAAGAGAGTGGGACCCCCTGGAAGGGATCACAAGTATCACCACAAGTACCAAACAGAAGTGCTGGTGATTCCAGCTTCCTTCTACCCAGAACTAGAATATCAATATGAGGTGGACTGTCCTTAAAGAGATACTTGGAGGAAGTTTTTCTAAAACTACATACAACTGTAGTGAACCTGCAGGCATTATCATTGCTCAGCAGTTGTTTTAAAGCAAAGCTAATGTCAAAGTAAATTTTGTAAAATTTAAGTCAAATGTAAAATTTAGTAACAAGTGTGCGTTTTTACAGAATGTTCACTGCCCCGTTTCAACGCAGCAGCTAAGTCGCGGTGTTCCTGCAATAGAAATGTGATTTTCTTTAATGTTTTTGGGTTAAACCGCTGTTAGTACTTTTAAACACTGATACCATGTAGGAAGAAAACCCACACCAAGTACACGAAGCTATAATTAAAGGATACTGTGAAAAAATATAATTTGTAAAAAGCCTCAGCAACCCTCAATGGTACTGTACATGCTTGAATTTTTGCGACAATGTGCAGAAGTTAACACTCGCCACTGTACAACATGTCATCGCTG